TCGGAAGCGGCGCTTTTGGTTTCTCTACCTCCATGTTGTCGGTGCTGAAAAGGAAACGACACGAAGAGGCAGTTTCATTTAACGACACTGTGTTTAATAGGCAGGACTGCTTTCACACACGCCAACCGCCAGGATAAAAGCTGTCACTCTTGTGTACCCTAAGACTGGGGGAGAAGCTTTGTGGGAAAGAATGGTGCCTCCCCAGAGCCACAGAGACTCTACGCTTCAGAAATACCCCAGTGCTCTGACAACGTAATCCAACCATGTTTCAGCTCTGCATCAGGAACTTGGGGTGGGGGGGCAAGGGAAAAGTGGAAGCTGACTTCCACCTGCCGTGGAATGCCAAGTCCATCTGAGGAAGAGCCAGTTTCTCGCAGGGCTAGATGACGGCTCATTTCCTCCCACTGGCCTTCTGGGCCTCTCACAGCCCCCACTTTCACCTTCTCCCAGGTCCCTAATCTTGATCATCAGGCAGATACAGGCAACAGGTCACAGCCTTATCTAAGAAAATAGGTCTTGCACATTCTGGTTTTTGGCAGTTGTGACAAACGGCAGAGACGTGACGTTCCTAACTTCTCCGTGCTTGCTAGTCTCAGACTTGGAATATAAACAGTATTCCTGACATCTCAGTTAGGGAATGGCTGCTGGCCTAGGAAGAATGGAAGAGGGGGTCCTTGCAAATGTTCCTCTCACCAGTACTCACTCAGTAGTGAGATAACAGATCTACATTGTGAGAAAATCCGAAAACTTTTTCTGCAACAATAAACCAAAAAGAAACACACAAAAGGCACTCTGCAAACACTCGCTCACTACTAGTATTTCAACATGAGCTTGCCTGCCAATTTTCTCAGATGCTGAAATGTAAATAGATAGAAGACTTGGGTCTCTTTTTCATTAAATGCTTAATCACTTAGCTCATTTCCATAAACTGGCATGAATTCAGTCTCAACTATTTCTTTGTTGCTTAACCATTTCTTAGGAAAGCTAAGGTTCCTAAGAGAGATCAGGGCCAAGCTGATGTCTTCTCATGCAATCAGAACAAACAAACAAGCCACAAAATGTACTTCACTGGGTTTAGCATTTTTAACTGAGATCTCGATATGTTCCTACTTTTAAACAATTGTCACAACAGCAGAACCTGCTTGCTACGTTTTTCTAATCCTTACAATGAATCATTTTTACTCAAATGCACTTACAGGTTTTCTTTTACTTGCTACATTGTTTTCTACTTTCTATCTGTTTTATTGTGCTAGCAATATGAATGTACGATGGGTTGACAAACCATCTGCCTTTAAATATATATAAGAATATCCAAAGATAAGACCCAAAAAGAACCCCGAAAAAGAACTCAGCCTCTCGAGCCATGTTTGCTTCGGCCACTTCGTTCTGTGGACTGTACTCTGTATTTTTTAATTTCAGTTTGGTTTTTTATTTTTCAGTTTTTACTTGTTTGCTTGTTTGTCTTTGAGCAGGATATGTAAGCTGACCAGGCTGGCCTCAAATGCAAAAAGAGTGCGGGAACAAAGATATGTGCCATCACACCCACATTTTACTACTCTCACTTTTAATCTATACTTTCACTACTTAAGGTGCAAAAAAAAAAAATTCAGTCTAGGCTTGGTGGCACACACCTGTAATCCCAGCACTTGGGAGGTAGAGATAAGAAAAATAAGAATTTTTAAAAAAGCTCCCAAAGTTTCTCACCAACAGGGACAAATCACTTTATAGCATTCACAAAGTGTGTCTTTCTTCCAAGTCTGTCTCTGTATTGTTTGAGATAAATGTGACTTATTTGGGGAGGGGGGCATCCTTTTGAAAAGGTCTCCCTACAGCCCCAGCTGGCCTGGAACTTCCTATGTAGAGACCAGGTTGGCCTCCATCTCACAGAGATCCTCCTACCTCTGCCCCCCGGAGTGCTGGGATCAAAGGCCTGCGTCACCACACCTGACTGAGAGAAATGTGACTTTTACTTGAAAGCCACATTTAAAATGGTTTACAGTGTATTTTGTTAGGTGAATTAACTTAAATTTCACATTCACCAATTATATTTCTCATTTGTAACCATTCACAAGAATCTTTAAACGACTCAGTTGTTTTAGTTTTTTCATGTACTACAAAGTTGATGTTAGTTACTTCACTAACATGGCTGGAACTTTGTTTTCTTTATTTCTTGACAGTATCTCATGCATCCCAGGCTGGTCTAGAATAAATGAGGCCCAGGATGACCCTCAACTTTGGATCTTCCTGCCTCTTCCTCCTGAGTACCACCACACCATCTATTCTACACTAGGGACTAAACCCAGGACTTCGTGCATGCTAGGCAAGCACTATATATCCCTAGCCTTTCTTCTCTTCTTTCTTTCTTCCTTTTTTCTTTCTTTTCCTCCCTTCCTTCCTTTCTTGTGTATAGGGGAGATAGTGCTAGGGATCAAACCCAGGGCCTTGTGCATTCTAGGCAAAAGTTCTACCTCTGAAACACGTATCTCTGAATACATAGCCAATACAGTTATTTGGAGAATTACTAAATTCAATATAACAAGTAGAAAAAAAGAGAAAACTTGCTTTTATTTCTAGAATCTTCCATCCTAATTAGAATAGACTCAAATCTTTAATAAAATCCCAGCTTTTATTCAGTAAAAGTACTTACAATTATGGATTCTCTCCAAACCTAAGAGGGGGGAAGGATATAAATATAAATTTGAAAGTGAATCTTCCTTGTACATGATTAATTTCTCTCTCACATGTCAATCTATATTCCCTTGCAGGCAAAGCCCTCTCCATTTCTAAGGCATTTGGGAGAGCGGCTTCTTACCATGAGATGACTACCGAGTTCTCACAGGAAAATTGAAAGACTTTAAAAGGGGAAAAAAAAAAGAAAAGAAAAGGGCACATTCTTGAACACTTTTAATCACTGTAATTCGGCCCCATTGGGAGCACATCATTCCACACACAGTCCGCAGTTCTCCTCCCTAAGACTCCGGGGGGAAAAAAACCTATTTGCTAACCTGAGAAACAAAACTATCAGTCTGTACATTCGACAAAAACACGGAGAAGAACTGGGGAGGGGAAAATGGTGTCTCCTTGCTGACTCTTAATGAAACATTTGCAAAGAAGCAAGCCAACGCTGAGGAAAGAAAAAAAAACCTCGGCCCTCCAGCCGAACAAATGTGGTAGCGAAACGAATCTGGGGAGCAGACTCCGTGGACAACAGGAGGAACCAGTGGAACTTGCAAGGCCTCCTGCACCATCATACCCAGAGATTTCCCAAGAAATAATTAAATGGAGGGAGGGTAGCAACTTGCCTAACCCCGGGGGCCCTGAGAGGTACCACCGTATCCCACCACTAGGTGGCAGGCTACAAAGGTTGCAGGCAGGAGCCCTCGAGGACTGCAACTGCCCAGCCCAACGGTGAGCCTTCATCCCACACCTCGATCCACTCCACTAAAAATGTCAGATTAGTGGAGGGTGAGGAGGAGACGAAACTAAAAATAAAACATCTCAGGCTTTAAAATCTAAAGTCACCGAGTAACAGTACTCCCTTAAAAAAAAAAAATCTGTCCAGGACAAAGCTGAATGGAGAGGTACACGGGAGATGGAACTGCATATTTGACCCTGCTCAGTGTTTTCAAAGCACTGCCTCCTTTTGGAGCTTTCAAAACAAACCTTCCGAGTGGTTGTTTTAGAGCGACAAGTGAATGCCAGGCTGAGTTGCTGAAAACCAGTCCAAGGTGGGCTTGCATCACCAGCCGCACACCATGTACCTAGCCACAAGGTGATGGGCTGGGCTGGATAAACATGAGTCGTTTTATTGCTGGCCAGAAATTCTTCCTTCATTCATCAAAGTGGGTGAATGAAAATATTAAGAAGCGGGTATGACATTTTCATGGGCTGCTTACCGAGGATCCTTCTAAAGGAAAGACTTTACAGTCTTACTACCCTGGGTATCAAATACAGCCTACTCCCAGAAGAGGGAAAAACCACTTCCCCTTTTCATTAAAAGGTTGCACACCAGAGTCCAAATCTTAGCAAAAGAGATGTTACATAAATTCCAAGTGTTCCTAAATATGTATATTTACATACATACAGCACAATCCTAAAGGAAGCATAAGTTTCAGACCCATTTTGTCCCCGTCCCCCTCTCCCCGCTTTTTTTTTTTTTTAAACCTCAAGAGTCAAAATGTGAGTTTATAGGATGACTTAGGCTCTTACCCACTCAACGGTATTTCCAACCAGCTAAATTCAGGTGGTGGTATGCGCGCATACAAAACGTATCTAAACACCAGCACACTTACCTTTCTTAACTGAGTCAAAACCAAACAATTCAGTTTACCTACAACCCAACAACCCCCCGGGAAGGGGAATAATAATAACAACCCACCCTGAAAATTCTGGATTATTTTCTCAGTGATTTGTAAAGCCATCCTTTCATTATTCTATGAACAGGCTAATTCCTCAACATCTTACTTTGCCTTTAAAAGGCTTCCTTCCACACGATGGGATTTCCCTAAGAAACATTCCCAGAGGATGGTTTTCACCAATAGTGTATATCAACTCAGCCTGCGCAGGCAGACTTGGCTTCGCTAATTCCACCACCCCCCTCCGACACACACACACACACACACACACACACACACACACACACACTTCACACTCACGGAACCATCCCGGGCCAACTCGAAAGCTATTTTACTGGCACGTTTTCTTGCCCCTCTTTCCTGAAAATGCAATTCCAAGTGACCTTTCAACAGCTGGGGAGATCGCACGATCTCTAGGGTTCCGGCTGAAAACTAAAGGGTATTTTAGCATCTTAACTAATCCCTGCAACAGTCTCTGCCCAAGTCCTAATCCCCGGAGCCCAAGGGCAGAAGCCCAAACACTTGCAGGGAGCTCGCGACCAACTCACTGCGGGCATCCTGCACGCGCGCAGCCCACCCGATACCCGCAACCCGGCCCGCGGCGAAGGCGCCAGGCACGTACCGCACCCGCCCGACCGAGCTCACCTTCCCGGGCTTTCAGCAAGACCGTGTTGGCCACGATGTTTTCCAGCTCCATTGACAGCCGGCGGTCAGCAAGAGAGCCGGCCGGCGGGGCTGTCAGAGCCTGGGGTGCTGCCGCTGCTGCTGGTCGGGCTGCCGCCGCCGCTACTGCCGGAGCCGGGAGCCAGCAGCCCGCCTTGCTACCGCATTATTCCTGCTCCGAGTCCTCGGAGTTTCCCCCTCTGCATGGAGGAGCTGCCGCCGCCGCTTCTTCCTCCCTCTGTGTCCCCCCTCCCCCCTCCCTCAACTCTCTTCACTCCATTCTCCTCCCCTCCGGCTCCCTCGGATGCTTTAATGCCTCGGATGCTTCAGCCTCCCCTCCGTCCCTCCCGGGGGTGTGGTACTCCAGGCTCGGGCCACCCCACTGCGCAGGCGCCGACCCAGAGGCGCCTCCCGACTCGCGCTCGCGGCGCGGGGGCTGCTGGGACTTGTAGTCCTGCGGCCCGACGGGGCGGAGCGCCCCTGAGCGCTAGTGTGGAGCGGCACACCGGCCCGGATGGCGCCCAGCCGAGACGGCCTGGCCCTGCCCCAGGGGCGGGCGAGTTAAAGGCGACCGAGCTGAGCCAGAACCCCCACTCCCGGGGCGGAGAGCCGGGAAAGTGGAGTGCACACGCTCCGGCGGCGGGACGCTACGGTGGCAGGACCGTCTCCTCGGTCACGCCTGACCCGCGAGTGATCCCAGACCGGGGTCCCGCACTGCCCGCCGTCCGACGCGCACACGCACCAGGTCGCTGACAAAGGTGCACTTTGTCTCCCCGGAGGGCGGGAAAGGATTCGCGAGCCGCCGGGACCTGCGTCCCTGGCCGCGCAGCCCGAGCGCCCTCTGGCGGCGGCAGGGCGAGGCGGACCTCGACGCGGGCGCCTGGGACTCCCGGGATCCCAGCGTGCGGAGCCGCTCTGCCCGGGCCCGCACCTCCCCATCCCTGTTCCTGCAAACTGATCGGGGTCCTGTTGTGTGGACACAGACCGAGCCGCTGCGGAAGCGTTAATGAGTAGCAGTCCGGCCATCGCCGAGCCCGCGTGGAAAAGCGTTCAAGTTCCAGGCGTGTTTATTTTGCAGCACTTGGCGCCTTCCACTTCCAGAGCAGCAGACTACACATCTGGGCCCTACTGCCTCCCCCAAGGCCCAACTCCTGGGAAATGGGCTCTCGGGTCACCTGGGATCTACCCGAATGTTCTACGGGCTGGGGGCAGGGCGGGCTGGCCCCGGGGAACAATGAAGCCTTTGCCTCCTCTGGGTCCTGCGGGCCGGATATCCGTTCTGAAGCCAGCTCTGGGCCTTCTGTGTCCAAAAGAAGGAAAAACCTTCTGTCCCCAGAGCTGCCAGGAAGTAGCAGGGAGGTGCCGAGAGAAACGGAGAACAGTCACTATGCATTGGAGGGTATGAGAGATTTAATAGTTTGCAGACCCGGACCACTGGACTAGTGTTGACAATGACAGCCCGGGGTTGTCGTCTTTCCTGGTGGGTAGACCTGCCAACCATCACTTCTAGTGACTGGATTTGGGTTAGTGGATCCCTCTGAGCCTCATTTGTCTGCAAGTAGAGCCAGTAAGTTTGCCTGTTGAGAGGGGAACAGGCAACTTAGGCTCCTGACTCCCCAGGAAGAACTGTTCTAAGCAACACAGGCTTCAATTGCTACAGTCTCACACGTCCAGAGCCCTGACTTCCGACAAAAGGGTCGCTCAGGCTCTCAAAAGACAAGAAGAGGGACTCAAAGTGAGCAGCAGCACGGAGCCGGCTGACCACAGTGGCCATTTGTTAAGAGCTTGATGCAGCCCAATGTTGGTTTATTTCATTGACTTTTTTTTTTTTCTTTCGGTTTTTTAAACAGAGTCTCACCAAACCCAGGCTGGCCTGGAATTCCTCATCCTCCTGCCCCTACCTCCCAAATGCTGGGATTACAGCTACCACACCTGGCTTGGTTGACATTTCAAAACAAAACAAAAACCTATATTTGAATACTTTCTTATGGCACCTAGTCCAACCTCCTGTGTGCCAATCCTAGGGATCGTTTAATGACACAAATTCTGGTTAAAATGCAGACATAGGTCTAGAGCAAATCCTGAAATTCTGTTGTTTTCAACAAACTCCAGTGTTCTGTCACTCTTTCGAGGCTGAAGCTGTGCTGTTAGCTGTAATCCCCACCACTCTCTACTGTCTGACACCCTGCCCACGTCAGCAGGACCTCTATCTCTCTGACCTCTAGAAACACTCTGGTAAAACACTGCCTGTCTCCATTTTACAGATGTGTGATCCAGAAGGAATAAGTGAGTCCCAGTAGACACAGCAAGTAGGTGTTAGCCTGTCCAGTTCTCTGTCCACTACAGGGTGATGCATCCTGCCTACAAAATAAATGGTTGTAGGTCAAGTTATCTGTGCCTCTGTGAGGAAATTAGGACATTCCAATGCAAGAAAGGAACAATGATAGCATTTACTCAAACCCAGTGGGGACCAGGCCTGTGCTAGCTATTTGACAGGGATTATCAACTTGAACACAACATCCGGATGAGATAGGGAACATAGCTCTATTTTGTAGATAAAGAACTGTTTTATGATTTGCCTGGGGTCACACACTATTAAGTAAAGGACAGGATTTGAACCTGGCAGGCTGAATAGAGTCTGTGCACTTGATCTCTGGCTGGCAAAGTTTGGCCAGAACAACTTAGTTCTATTTTGTTTTGGATTTGTTTTGGGGGGGCGGGTTATTTTTTGTTTTGTTTTGTTTTTGGTTTTGTTTTGTTTTGTTTTTTGAGACAGAGCTCCCTGCAGTCCCAGCTGGCCTGAAACTTGCTATAGATCAAGTTGGCCTCACTTGAACTCAAGAAATGTGCCTGCATCAGCCTCCCAAGTGCTGGGACTAAAGGCGTGTACTACCACGCCTGGCTCTTTTTTTTTTTTTGGTTTTTTTGAGATCTGGTCTCCCTGTAACCCCAGCTGACCTGGAACTCACTATGTAGACCAGGCTAGCTTCAATCTCATAGAGATCCAAGTGCTGGCATGCACTACCATGCCCCATGCAACTTAGTTCTGAATGTTGTTTTGTCAACAGAGTAAACCTGTAAGAAGGCAAAGCAGGTGGTTGAATGGTTAAGACTTAAGGAGTTTTCTATTCCCTTCATAATTCCACTGTGATAGCTCCGATCTTTTCAATTAGCTGCAATAACAATTCATAGTCCCCTTGAAAAAGTGGTTCGTTTTGAGGAAAAGTCACCTATTAAGCATCAATAGCTAATTATGGAATCATTGACAGTCAGCTAAGAACATAAACGAAGTTCCAAATGAGGCTCCTGTGAGGATTCAGGGCATGGGAAAGACACCTGACAGAACTGCACTCGGCCTTCACTCAGCCAAAGATGCAAAAGAAACCAGGAATCTTACTCTTCCGTGGGCACCGGTATTTCCTGTGGATAAAGCCTCTGGGTCAGAGATCTTGTAAACAGAAATCTGCCATTCTGGAAAGCCTCACTCTCTCTTCGTCCTGAAGTGTAGATTCCTTTTGCTTCAATAATTTCATTGCAGTCAGACTTGGTGACTCACGCCTTTAATCCTAGCCTGGTCTACATAGCAAGTTCCAGCCTAGCTGGGGCTACAGAGAGACCCTGTCTCAAATAAATAAATAGATAAATAAATAAATAAATAAATAAATAAATAAAAAGTTGAAAATTTTTTATTTTGTTCAGTGCTGAACAATCAATAAATTGACAAGGAAATTACACAGTAGAAGCATAAAAATTAATTCTGCATTCAGAAGTGAGGAAGAAAATGCTCTTTCCTCTAGTAATTTACTTAAAAGCCAATGATTTTCTGTTAATGTAGATAAGGAAAGAATCTAAGCTATCAGCTGTGCTCTTTTTATAACCAGCGTATCTCAGAAGATGACCTTTTTATGGTCAGCATCCAACAGGCACTGGTTTGACCAAAGCCAGGTTCAACTATTTTGCATAAAAGCCTAGGATGGAAATGTGGGTGTGATCTTAGCAGAAAAAGCAAAAGAACTGTGCTGCCTGTTTTGTTTGTTTTTACATTTGTGTGTCTGTGTGTGTGTGTGTATGTTCCTGCGTTCTTGCATGCATGACACAAGATGTGGAGGTCAGAAGATAGCTTTCAGGAGTCAGGTCTCTCCAACTACCATATGGGTTTCAGGGTTTGAACTCAAGTCATCAGGCTTGGCAGCAAGTGCCTTTACCAGCTGAGCCATTCAACAGGCCCTATCTTCCTCCTCCTCCTCCTCCTCCTCCTATTTTTCTTTCTTCTTCTTCTTCCTCAATCTACCTTTTTGTTTTGTATGTTTTCAGATGGGGTCTCTTGAAACCCAGGTTAGTCTCACCTCCTCCTCCTCCTCCTCCTCCTCCTATTTTTCTTCCTTTCTCTTCCTCCTCTTCTTTGAGACAGGATCTCACAGTGGAGCACTGGCTAGCCTGGACTCACGCTCAAGACCAGGCTGTCCTTCACCTTGTAATTCTCCTTCTTCTGCCTCCCACATGCTAAGATTTTACCATACCTGGCCAAAAACTACTTCTTAAAGAGAAGCAAGAGGCAGGCTGAACAGAATGGAACCTTAAGCTAAGCCCTTAGAACCAGCTGACTCATAGGTGAGGCAGGCTCAAAGGGCAATCCTATACTTCAATAACATAAACATTCTTTTCTGCCAGACTCTGGGCCTAATTATCTTGGAAACCTTAGAATAGAGCTTTTACTGGTCTAAGGCAAGCCATCACAGATACATGAACATTTAATTTACTTAGAAAGGAGCTACTTCCCTCACTGAACCCTCGGCTAGTTACATGCTAAATAAAAATACTTGGAGTATTAAAAAATGTGATGCTTTACATAGACTGATCTTTTTTACAGTTATGTAGAATAGACTGTAGCCTATTTGCCCAGTTGGCTTGAGTTTCCTCCTGGAGTGACATCTCAAAGTTAAGGTATAGGCTAACTGCCTACAGGAGCAGGCAGATGTGACTAGAGAGCTTCTTCCTTGGAGGAAGTTTCCTCTGTGGAGAGAGGTTGCCATCTAGCATGAACTTTGGGAGCTGCAGCCAGCTCCCTCATGGCAGTAGAAAACTTCAGGCACTTGCATGGTGTGGCATAAATGGGTCAGCGAGCATGCGAGGCCAGTTTCCACTTATCACAGAGGGAATATGCTCCTGAAGTGCTTCTTGGGCCGTAGAAAGTGCTGCTCATAGCTCAAGCTTTACAACCCTGCTGTGCTCCAGGAACCTCTTCAGGCTGAAC